GGGGTGGGGGGGGGTCTGAATTGAGCGATCAATTATTAGACCCGGACGTCCCAACACTTGCTTCGCAAGACAAACTCAAGGTATCCCCTAAAGGGCTACCTTTCGTGACTTGGAGAGGACGTTATGCAGAAAGCAATGCATTCGATTTGCGCTCTCGCTTTGAAATTCCGAAATGGAGGAGGACTTTGACGTGTGACGGACTGGAGGCATGGTATTGAGCGCCCTTGTCCGCCCTTCTGTCTCACCACATGTAAGCCGAGAGCAACTTCGAGGGAACCCCTGTGCACTGACAGAGTGAAGCTGCCTTCGATTGAGTCGCTTTCCCAATTGGCTGGATCCCTGGCAGGGACCTTAGTCCTTGTCCATGGGGGTGGGCGACTGCCCTGCCAGCCGTGTACAATGTACAGTAAACATCACCCCGAACGGTTTCACATGGGCACTGCACGACTCACTGCACGCCAGGACAATGCCTCACTGCCTGAATGCGTTTTTCGCTAAACATTGTTTTTTGCAAGGCGCTCTTGCCTGCCGCGTGTTGATTCAAAGGCAGTTTTGGAAACAAAACGGGCTTGTCTTCCAGTGCCGCAAACGCAGTGCGTCGCCATCCGTGTGTTTTCACCCGCAGAGCAGGAGTCCGTCCCAATCGAGTGACGCTGCCACTGCCAAGTGGGGACGGCGGCACGTGCTGGGGAATGGTTCGTTTCCCAAGTTCGACCGCTTTGGGCAGCACTCCCGGCCACAGGCCGAGAACTCCCCAAACAAAGCTGTGGACGGAGTTAAGGACTGGGTGGTGGGCGCTCGTTTCAACAAACTATGTGATATTTTTTGTCGTGGGATTTGCGCGGAAGACGCAAACCACCAAGAACACACACATGTTCATTTTTGAACAAGTGCCCCTGTTCCCGAAAATTTTGTAAGATGGTCAATTTTTTGTTTGTTGCATTTTGTAAATGCGGCGAGTTGGGTTTTCGCTGACAGTCGTAAGTCGTTGCGCAGCGCCCGCCGCTTTGCTTCGATCTCTGTGTCGCTTGGCTTCGCCAACTCGCATGTACAAAAGCCGTCCAAACACGTTCTTTTTTTTGTTCTATTTTTTCGGTGTGACAAGGTCGTATTGGAAAAACATAAACACATACCCAGCCATGTGGTGGATGGATTGGGGTTGAGACGGCTCTCCTGGAGTTTGGCCTTTGTGGCTTCGCAATTTCCAGCGCTTGCCCCTTGGCGCACAGTGTGGTCAACAGGTACCCACGGAAAGTTGAAGAATGGTGCTGGACTCCATGCCAATCGCGCCCCATCAACGCTGCCCGTGATTCCACATGACAATTATCACATGTCGGACAGCTGTGTGCAACTGACAAAAGGTAGTCTGGCAAGGGTTACCTTGAGGTTCTTTTGCAAAGGGTTTTTTTTGGACAAGCGTAATCTGCGAGAGCATGAGGCAGCTCTCAAATAGGTGCGGGGCAAGTGTGGCTCCAGGGGCAAGTGCGTTGACGGCATCATTGACGCCATCATCACTTGAGAGGAGGGAGACACGAAAGGTAGGACAGCGGGAAGAGAAGAGAACGAAAACTCTGAGGCAGCGATGCCAACTTGCATCCCCAAACGACAATGCAAGGGAGGCTAGATGGGACAAATGACTTCCAAAGCTCTAAGGAGAAATCACTCCGACCCGGAAGCACCCGCACTTGCTTCACAAAACAAACTCTATGTATTTATCCCCTCGGAGGCAACCTTTCGTAAATATAATTTCATATGCACTCTAAAAGTTCAAACATATGCTGTCGAAATGTTCAAAAAATTCTTTGGAAAACAAACTTGCCCCATGGCTCAGATCATCGGTGAGCATTGAATCGGAGCATCATAGGATTTGAACTATCCTGAAACATAAGAGGCTCACGAAGACGTTCCCAGGAGAGAATTGACGTGCTTCACAAAACAAACTCTAGGTATCCCCTCGGAGAACACCATTCGTGATTAGAATTTCATACGCACTCTGAATGCTCAAGAGGGTTTCAACTATCCTGAAATCATGAGAGGCTCACGAAGACGTTCTCCAGGAGAGAGTTGAATTTAGAGGGGGGGAGGGGGGAGGGTCGGTATTGAAAAATCAATTCCCCGGAGGGGGGGTGGGTGTCTGCATTGAGAAACCAATTCCAAAGGGGGGTTCTGCGTTGAGAAATCAATTCGAGGGGGGGAGGAGTTGAATTGAATGATCAATTGTTAGACCCGGACGCGCCAACACTTGCTTTGCAAGACAAACTCAAGGTATCCCCTAAAGGGCTACCTTTCGTGACTTATGCCAATGCACTGGGGCGAACAGCACTCGGTAACCAAAGTCCACACATCCCGGCGCAATGACCATCTCCAGCGCACACAACCTTGAAAGGAGCCTTCTTTGATACACAACACGGTGTTTGGGAGTTTGACAATGGGGTCGAATGAAAAGCGTTGTCTGGGATGATGCCCGAGGTGTTTGTCGGGACGCGGATGGCTTGCGGGTACCATCGGCAACCATCCCGCTGCAGCTGCCATTTGCATTCTACGACCTCTACGCTATGCATTTTCGGACCACCAGATTGAAACGTGTATGTCTCAAAGGGCGTCCCAAATGGGGGTCCAGAGGTTCCTGCGTGCCCGAAAAAATTTGGTCCACCTCACATCCGAAAGTGCGAAAGTTACACACGACTGCGAACACACACGCAACCACGTCGATCGAGTCCGCGTGCACGCACGCAATCCCAAC